CTGGAGCATGTCCAGAGAAGGGAATGGAGCTGGGGAAGGGTTTGGAGCACCAGGAGGGGCTGAGGGAGCTGGGAAAGGGGCTCAGCCTGGAGAAAAGGAGGCTCAGGAGGAACCTTCTGGCTCTGCACAACTCCCTGCCAGGAGGGGACAGCTGGGGGTGGGTCGGGCTGTGCTCCTAGAGAAAAAGGGAAACAGCCTCAAGCTGTGCCAGGGGAGGTCGAGGTTGGACATCAGGAGGAATTTCTTCATGGAAAGGGCTGTCAGGCACTGGAAGGGGCTGCCCAGGGAGGTTTGGAGTCTCCATACCTGGAGGTGTTCAAGAAATGACTGGATGTGGCACTCACAGCTCCGGGCTAGACAACACGGTGGTGTTTGGTTACAGGTTGGACTCGATGATCCTAAAAGGTCTTTTCCAACCTGAATCATTCTGTTATTCAATGATTCTATGATTCCAAGGTCCCATAATGAAATAACCTTGACAGGCAAACACCCCACACTTCCATCAGCAAAGAAAGAGAGAAATATCTAGAAATTGTCCTAGAGGCAGAGTTTGTAGGGGCAAGTATTCACACACCTGAAACAGCACTGCAGAGGAAAAGAAAAAAATAGATAATCAGGCACTGGAACAACTTCTTCCTGAATGGATCCCGCGCCCTCTGCTGGAGCGCTGTGCTCATTCCAGCCCAACCAGGATGGAGAGAACAGAATACAGGTGTGCCATGGGAGGGTCAGAGCTGGGAACAGGCAGGGACCGGTTGGGAGGGAGAAAGCTCAAGGGATATAAAGCAGAGTGAAAGCTACTCATGAGGGGAAAAGGAAGCACTACACAATAGGTGATGAGAATGCCCAGAGGGGGATGGATGGACAAAGGGATTTGGGGCTCTCTCAGGTCATTTCACAGCAAAGACCAGACTCCAAAATTTGGACACTACAGCAGAGGGGAATTTGGAATGACAGGTTTACTAAAAACTTCATCAGAAATCTCTGGTGTGCCTGAGAATGGTGTCAAATCTTTTCTCCAAGCACAGGTCAAATCAGTGCTATGGATAAAGGGCACTGCCTGCACAGCCTTTGGGGAGGGTTCCACCTCCTGTGCTGCTCAACTCACTGCAACTACTTTCCCACGAAGTCCCATGGTCTCCTCTGATGTCCCAACAACAACACTGTGCAGCAGACGTAAGGCAAGCTGTCCTTGCAAACTTCTCCAGGCATCTGGCTTCAGGAATACTTGGAAGAGGAGCAGATCAGCAGATGCTAGAATGGCCATCTCCACTGCTGGGGATGCACAGGGCAAAGGTATCAGAGACTCAGCCCTTTCCAGCACAGTGTATTTGTACCTCTGATACCTGGTGCTGCCTCCAGTCTGGAACTGCAGCTTGGTCAGGGGTGCATGGTATGGATGTAAAGCCCTGGGAGCTTTCTTCCTTCCTTCTGTGATGCCCAGGTTTGATTCCTACATGGAAATATAAAGGAATGGCAGGGCTGTATTGGGTGTGCAGAGCAATCAGAAGACACAAAGTGAGCAGATGCAGGAGGCAAACAGCATTTGGTTGATTTGGAAGAAACTACAGCTACACACATTCCTATATAACAATTTTAGGATAGGAAGTAACTTCCTGAAACACAGTATCAAAACATACTGGAAAGGGTGAATTTTTCTAATAATAATCAAGGAAATTATTCCCTTATGACTATGAAGATTGCTACTTAGGAAATGGCCTGGGCTATGGGCAGCTGTTAATGTGCACAAAATCAATACCCAGGCAGTTTGTCTGCTCCACTCAAAGGCAAACACAGCAGTCACACTGGCTTGAATTGGTCTGGGGTATGGAATATAATTTCCCCCTTTGGAAAAAGAGTATGCAGTGCGGACCTGATGGTGTCACCAAGAATCTCAACACTTCACACAAATTTGGCCAGGTCACAAAGAGAAATAGACACAGGGTTGTCACGTTTCTCTGGTGAGAACTTTGCCTCTTCCTTATTCATGAGCTTCAGATTCTCACTCTTGTGACTACTTGCTCCTTTTCCAGTAGTAGATATCTCCTGCCTGCAATAAATTTGAAAATTAGGGGTGAACTCTACACAGTGCAGCCAATGTCCATCAAGCTATGTTTAAAGACTCTTTAAGGGTCTGTGGACAAGTTTTAATGAAAAAGGTTACTAAGAAAAAATAATTGGCTGTCAGCAAGTGGCATTTACTGTACTGCTATTCTCACCCCCAGCAACAATATTTAGAGTATCTGCAAATAAAAGATTGGGAAACAGTTATTTTACTCCATCAGAGCTTGGGAAAGGTCAGATTGAGATCTCTCCAAAGGGTCAAAGCTATATAATACCAGTTAATACCATTTACTGTAGAAGCTGAACTGATTTGGGTCTAGACATAAGTTTCCTGTTTCTGCCACTCTTCTGCATGAATATTAAAGTCTGAAGAATGACCACAAGAAGACCACCTAAACCTAGAAGCTCACTGTTCTCCATTTTTAACCATGCCAGGATATTCTCTTTTGATCCCATGACTGGACATTTCCCTCTAAAACCTTCTGACCTAACCAAAGAGACTCACCATTACCACTGTCCTTGTTTATTTCTCCAAAGAAATCAGTGTCCTTAAGCAAAATCTTCCATAACAAATATTATGGTTACTTTTATGAAGGCCATTTTTTGTATTTATCAGGCATTCATTGATTCAATTCCTTGTTATGCAATTAATTGTCCTCCTACAGAAGTTTAATTTACCAGACTGCAGAGCCATAGATACACTTGTAGAAACTGTTTTAAAGAAAGTCATCACCTTTGTTACTCTGCAGACTTCAGTCAACAACAGAGGATTAGTGAATGAAGTGCCATAAGTAATTCCGCTAATTCCCTTGAAAGTCATGAGTGAATATCACTCAGTTTTGATGATCTGTCAGCATTCAATCTGTCTGCAACACAGTTTCTGCCACAGCTATTTAATAGAAGATATGCTACTCTTTGATTTGATTTGATTTATTCTAATTCAATGACTCTCCAAATTGTATTCTCTGCTGGGATCACTAACTCACTTCTGGGAAAATCATTTTAACAGACCAATTATGACAGAAAATACAAATGCTGTACTCAAAATTAATACATTTATACTCCTCCCTGCTGCTACTTCTTCCTGACATTTTATACCTGTATTGCCACAAATGCAGTTCAATACTCAGTGGGCCCTTATGGCAGATGCAGCTCAATTGGTCAGCATTGCAGAGTTTATGCCTTCAAAATTCACCCTCTAAAAACCTTCTCCCAAACCTTCCCTAAGCCTGATTGGTTAAAAAAAACCTCTTTATCTTATCTGCAGTAAGTCAGACTGGAGAGGGTCACAGAATTTAACACACACAAGGGATTGATAAAGTGTAGGACAGATTCCTGGGGCTCACAGACACAGCCCTGGAATGGCCTCACCTTTTGCTGGGGCTCCCTAAATGCCAGATTTCAGAAGAAAGCCATGAAATGTGTATTTACAAGAGTGGAGGTCAGGGCTGTGCTTGCAGCCTGACCAGAAATGCGTTTATCTCCATCACCCATTTACAGTTCTGATCAGTTTTGAGATGACCACTCCTCCCTTCAGATTGTTGCTACCTGCTAGATAAAAAAAAAAGGCATTTACATTAGATTTTATTTTTTTTTTTAATTTTGAGAGTTTTGTTTTTAATTTTGAGTTTTACTTAATAAATACAAAAGGGAGAGAGGTGGTGGTGATAGGGAGATAAAGGGGTTTTCATCATTGTAACTAAAATCTGATTAATTTTTTGGGGGTGAAAAGATGATTTAGGTGATATTGCCAGGACATTATGCATCCACCTGTCAAATGTTTTGGCAGACGTGAGCATTCACAATTCTACACATGTTACTGCAGGTTTGGAGCACTGCTGATGCAGATTTGCAGTGATAGGGTCTGTAACGATGGGATCCAAAACACAGCTCCTCTGTGGCACTTGTGCCACTCACTTTAATGATGTGTGGTTTGGGACAGCAACTGCCCTCCAGAGGGGGAGTGAAGAACCATCTGGGCTGGATGAAGAAGGGGAAAGAGACAAAGTGAATTAAGAAAACGTGGTTTGAAAAGTGGAAACTGGGGAAACAAAAGACTTGTAAAACGAACAAAATATGTGGATTAACACAAATGTGCAAATGTGTCCTGGGCTCAAGGACTGAGGCAGTGAGGGTTTTGGGTGAGTGACAGGGAGCAGACGAGCACCAGTGGCAACGCTGCCACAGTGGCAGGGAAGAAAAGAAAACAAATCTGTGTGGGAACCATTGTCCTTCAGCAAGGTACAGACTCCTGCATCCAGTGGGGAAATTAGGCTTTTTCCTTGACTGTTGTCTCCTTGTCTTCTTTCAGCATGACTGTGAGGCAGATACATGGATAAATGCCATGTACATGGGCTTACCTTTGTGGCTTCTGAGTCCAGAAACTAGCAAAAGCTGAGTGAGGAGTAATTTGGAGACTGCCACTGAGTGTTGCCTCATGCAGTGCCCACAATGGAGCAGGACTGGTCTTGTGGAAGGTGCTAGCACTCTGGGGAGCACCCAAGCTGGCTTTGTTTCGTCTTGGTATCCAACCAGACACATAATCTGGGAGATGGAAAAGCACCTTCCAAAACACTTTTCCTTGAGCAGGGGCTGGAATGGAGTCAGACACATCCCTCACCAGCAGTACACTGATCTCCAGCCAGGAGATCATTTCAACCTGATAGCGGGCAGAGCTGTCACAGCACAGAGGGACCACCCCCTGCAGGACCAGCAGGGGGACATGTCAAATTATCTTCACATCTTTCCCTGTGGCAGGAGTTCAGTGCAGCACTGCAGCATCCACCTCTGAGGAAGGTGAAATTCTGCAAGGGGATGTGGACTGTCCTAAAAAAGCTGCAGAGCCATATCAACTCCACATCAAACTTTCCATATGAACACAGTAAAGTCCAAGAGGACAACCAGCCTTTTTGACATAAAAAACCCACACACAACACTTTAAAAAATACTGATTTTATTCATGTCTAGCCTATTCAACAGTGGATCACACTGGCAGGAACAACCACAAAAATCAAGTTACAAGGTTTCATCAGGTTCTCGCCTGTGCAGCGCTGGATTGGAGTCAAGCACATACTATGGCACTGCCACTAATGATAATGATTGCTGTTCCAAGCTCACTCAAGTCCCATCTCCCTGGTGCACTTCCAAGCCCAATAACCTTGTCTCCCACTGTGCGTGGGATTGTCCGCAGAGAATTTGTGTTCTCAAAGCCTGAATGCAGCAAGCATCCTGAAGCACATACTCCAGCTAAAAATTCCCTATACCTCACATTCTTTATTTGAAAGGCTTCAAGTTTTCAATGAAACAAACAAACAAACAAACAAAAAAAAGCCCCCACCATCTACAATTTCTCAGAAACGTTGGACCTGACCTGTATAACTCAGATCCAATAAGAGAACTGGAATTACTTATCTCACCACATGACCTGGCCTGCAAACTCCAGCTGTTTTCCTTGGAATGATGCATCAGAGCAAGGTTTCCCACCAAAAGCAAAGCACCCCTGTCAATATCATCCCTACTGATAGTGTGAGCACACAGTATGGCCCAAGGTTTCTGCCCCATGGATTTCCCCAGGATAATCACACTTTTGCAAAGGTAGCCTGCACCTATGCTGACTCAAGACAATTGCCCCTGCAGGAAGGGTCCATGGTAGCTCTGGTCACTCATGGTCAGCCACATGGCCTTGACACACAGATCAGCATAAAGGAACTTGGAGGATTCCCACAGCTGGCCTGCATTGAGGGACAAAGCAGGTCCCTTGGGATTGTGGAGTGCATTTTGCCTCCCAAGGACTGCAGGTTCACATCCATGGCTGTGACTACTCAGAAGAACTGCACCAGAAGCAGCCTCCATCTGGCAGCTCAGGGTTTCTCTAAGCCCAGTCCTACAAGCCTATGGGAGCTACAGGTAGTTAGGAAGTTTCTCAGAGATCCAGATCCTTAGCCAGCAGTCACAAGGAGGTAATGCACTCCCAGAGTTGCCAAATCAGAGGGATCAGCTGCCTCCTACCTCTTTTCCCTCACACAATGATGCTGAAAACTGCCAGACTGGCTAAAAGTCACTCAGGAATATATAGAGGGTGTTACTGATAAAGAGTTCCAGGGAAGTTGTATGCCCAGCATCCATCAAACTACCTCTTGAATATTCAGCTATCACATTTAACTCCACTCTCCCTCTCAGGCTGTCCCCTCCCAGAATCAATTCTTCCTACCCATCCTCCCACTCTCCTGTGCAGAGAGCTGGCAACACACACAAGCTGGATCCATATGTAGTCATGGAAATTTGGCTGCATGGCTGACCTTTGCTGCTGCCAAAGGGAGGGAATTCCAGGCCAGAGCACCCCTCTTTGCCCTTCACTTTTCAGAGCTAATTGGGTTTTCTCTCACTTTCAGTATGGCACAGCATAGACTCGTGGAGCTTGAAAAGCAGCAGAGGTTTTTATCACAACGGTGCAATGGGATAAGACTTCAGAGAATTTTCTGGGAACACCGTGTACAATTATATTACAATTGCAGAACTGTCTGGCAATTGTGCCTCCTAAGTCACACAATAGACTACAAATGGTGCTATTTCAGTGAAATTCTCTACGACCACTGAAAATAAGTCGCTAACTTCGTTTGAGCAGGCAACGGACTCACGTGTTCACAAAAACTGACCGTACAGATGCTAAAGCCAGATACTTTGTAAGTAGTTGAGAAACACCTCTGGTTTAGGCCCATCCCTTAGGTAGCAGATATTTTGCATGAACAGGATGATTATTACTTGTAGAGCTATATGAAACATCTACCTTTTTATCTGAGTTATGAAAGCACAGCTTTGAAAAACACAGTAGTCCAAGGCTAAAAAGACAGTCAGACAAATAGACAGACTTCGGCCACTCATTTGATTTTCTTAGAGAGAGCTCTTTGCTCTTTTAAGGGCTGACCTTATGCATTTGCCATGTCTGCATGCTCCACTTGAGAAAAAGGCTTAAAGGAAGTTTCAACAGCAGACTCTTCTGGAGGTGTCCTGTGTCAATCTCCAGCTTCCCACAGGACTTGGTGCTTGTCTGGGGCTTTTGAGGAACAACTCATAAATTGCTGCTATTTAGCCACTAGCAGTTGAATCTTGTTTTATGTAGTTTTCCCAGAAATAAGACGCATTGTAATCTTGTAGGGGATTCTCCCTGCTTCCTTCCTCCAGCCCCTGTTCAAATTTAGTTTCAGTTTCCTGGAACTAAGAGTGTTGACCCCTTTAAGAGCAACAGCAACAAGAAAACCACAGAGCAAGGAAAATAATTTCCTGACCAAATTTTCTCCATAAAGGAGAAACTCCACAACTTTACAGGAAGAAGACGCAACAATCTCTTTTGCAGCATCCTGATATGACAGCCTTTCAGCATCCAGAATCCAGCCTAGCAAGGGAAAAAGGAAAAAAAAAGAGTTATTTTACATGGATCACAGTAAAGCCACAACAATCTAAGGGTTCATTTCTTCATAGAATGTTTGAAGGGGCTGAATTAGAAATCTGCAGTTGTCAGCTGCAGCTGGCTAAAATGGAAAGGGCTGCATTTCTTTGCCTACCTTGATGTCTACTAGGATTGGCTTTGGGGCCAATTTTTCCTTGCAGCTCCTGGGAATTATACAACTGTTTTGTTGCATGAGATGAAATATGCTTATTAGAAGGTTGCAAAGTTTGTTAGGATGCATTGCAGTACTCTTCAAGGACAGAGACACAAGATCTGATTCTTACTGTAACTGGGACTTTTGGACTTCCCAGCGACATTTTCGTGGCATCTAATTTTAGATCTGCAATGACAATTTGGCTTATTTGGAATTTGGAATCCTCCCTCTGCTCCAGGGGCAGGAAAATCTATCAAAGCAAATAAAGGAATTTTTTTTTTTTTTTTTTTTTTTAAATTAGATCTGAAACAATTTATGAGACATTAGAAGAAAAAAAAGTTGGGTCTGCAAGAACTTTTCTTTCTTTAGGGTCTTCTCCATTGTCACACTTTTGTGCAGTCCATTCCAGCTGCATCTGTGCTGGTGACTCATGAAACCTAAAGGGCTATTAATAAGTTATTAAAAGTATCAGCAGACTCCCACAACAAAAGGAGAAAGAAAAAATTACTGGAATAAATGAAGTACTGCACCCTGTGGAAAGGATCCACACTGGAGCAGATCATGATGAACTGCAGCCCATGGGAAAGGCTCACGCTGGAGAAGTTCCTGGAGGACTGACTCCCATGGGAGGGACCTCACACCGGACCAGAGGAAGAGAGTGAGGATCTTTAATGATATTTTCTCTCCCCTGTGGAGCTGAGGATGGAGAATGACAGAGTGGCTTCAGGGGGCACCTGGAATCCAGCCACAGGTACATGGATAGGATATGATATTAAATTCACCATTTCAGGACTCCTGAGTGCTAAACAAAACTCTGAGGCCCAGACTTAATTGTGTGAGCAGGGCAAGTAATGAGCTTAAAGAAGTTCAGCTTGTGCCTGCCAAAATGCTGAGCAGCTCAAGCCTTTAAACTTGCAAACTGCAAGGAGTTTGCACCATTTATGTTTTTAGACAGCATTCTCTACCACAATTCCTTTTCCCACTCAGTGCTGGGGTTTGGAAGCAGCTTATTCCACCAAGAAAACAATACACTTTCCAGTCCCTGAGCTCCCACAGCTCCCACTACTGCTTGGCAATGACTCAAGTAGCCAGAAAAAGAAAAAGAACAGGCTGTAAAAAGTGTGGCAGTGAGACAGCCTTGGGCCAGAAGGTTGTTTGTCACATTGCCAAAGCCCAAAGGAGGAGAAAGAAGTGGGAGAAACATCAGAGATGGGAGAAGCCTACAAAGCAAACAAGATTTATCAGGAACTCTGCCTAGGTTCTGAAAGGAGAAAATGTCAGCAGCACAAAAATATATAAGTATGCATCTTTTACATAAATATAAATATACACCAACACATTTGCATCTGCTCTTCAAAAAATTTTCTAAGAGAAAGAAAACCCAGGTCTAACAACAAAATGCACAACTTGCTTGTTTTAAGTTCACCACAATTGTGAGCAATCTCTGCTTTCCAGGCTAAATATGTGCTGATCTTCAAAGCAAAATTCCCTCAGCGACTTTTCTTTAATGTCAATTTTTTTCCTGCGGATTTATATGTTTGAGAAGAGAGTTTTCACTCCAGGGATTACAGAGGATGAACAAATTGAGATGCTGAGGCCAACTCACAGTTTTCAAGAGATTCAGGGCATCAATAATTGAATCACAGTGATTGTTTGGAGTTTGATAAGGCAGAGACCCCATCAGACAATTCAAAGGTAGAAAGATATGTCTGCAGCACCTGAATTAATTGAACCTATGACAAATCCCTGGATTTCCCAGCAGAGTGAGCATTCACAGTGGTGGTGTGGTCTGATTCTAGTTTTATTTTTACAGTTATGTATATGACATGGATCTTCCCCAAAGGCAGTAGAGATGTTCCACTGGGAAAGAGGAGAGGATGAGACTCTAAACAGTCAATATTTGAAGTCTAGGATGTCCTTTTATCCAACATGTATATTAAAAATAAAAAAAAAATGTTTAGAAATTGTAATATATACTCTTTTAGAGTTTGTTTCTGACCTGCAAGAAGAATCCTGCTTCTTTATGGTTTGTAAATTCATTTAGGAAAACTCTCTGGCAGCAAATGTGACTCCTCTTGAACTGGAAGTACTGCATGTTTAAGGCGTGTAATGTTACCTCCCTGTTCAAAGCAAGGGTTGTGCAAAATAAATGGTCCCAGTAGATAAAAAGGTAATAAATTTTATAAATAGATTTTTGAGTTTGTCATGAAAAGAATTCTTGAATTACCTGTAAATTGAAAAGCTCAAATTTTTCTGGATAACCTTTAATTTGGTGTTCTAGAAACAAAGCAGGGATCAAACACTGCAGCCTTAAGCAGATCTCTGCAAACAGCTCAGAAAGTATAACTGAGCTGTTTTATTCAGCTACAGCAGAACAATCAATCATTCAATACTGCAATTTGCAATACTGCAATACTGGGGAAAAAACCCAACCAGTTTGTGGCCAGCAAACCTCGCATTCTAAATCTGTCCACTAAGCCAGGGTTCAGCCAGTGCAGCACAGCAGATGGAGACTGGCCTGAAACCATCCTAGATCCAAATTTATTACATTGCTGGAAAGCACCATCAAAATAATATTTAATTTCACTCACACAGAGAAAGCAACAGGAAAGATTTGGACAGAAGAATGGCAGATGGACCAAAAAAGATTTTTCTACCTCTATAACTCTATAAATAAAAAAGCAATAAAGCACCTAAAAAGAATGGGCATGAAGGCAAATGTGAAGCGTAAGAGAAACAAAACACGAAAGTACTCCTTGCCTATGACTTACTCATTACTCAATAATTGCTTAGTTACTTTTAAATACTATTTAAAGTACAAAACTAAACCAAGAACTTCCCACATGGTGAATGATATTGGATGCTCAGCTTGAAGTCTGAAGTTCCAGAAAGCAGAATGCAGGTCTTGCACAGAAACAAAACCTACTACACTGCTGTCATTTTTTTTTTACAAGGTGGGTCTCATTTATTTGTAGAGGGTTGCAGGGAGTTAGTTTTGGGCACCCATTTCTCTATCCTTTATTGTCCTTAATTTTGAGAGCCTGATACTGATGCCTCAATTCATAATAAACAGCTCAACACTACTCAGTGAAGTTTTCTTCACTTCTGAGACCAGAGACATGAAAAATTGGACTACACTCTGGAATGGGATCTAAACTCACCTGGGTAACTTTTCAACCCCATTTCAGACACCTTCCACATTTATGGATTGAAAACATTTAATAACATTCACATTTAAAATCAGTTTAAAAACTGCTGCCTCCTGTTACTACTCCTGCTGCAAGGTCTTGGAATTCCCCTCAGTGGGGAGAGACGCAATCCTATTCAGACTATACATGCAAGTAAGAAGATCTAAGAAGCCGCTTCTAACGAATTAACTGGGACTAATTTCAGGCTTTGAACCTCCCTAGGTATGGCAAAAATGTAGGGAAAGTTACTTCAATCAGATGTAACTCTGCTGAAGCAAATTTTACTCGCTTTCATTAGGACAGAGCCCTGTGGCAGCCAGGCTATCACACTGTGCAGAGATAAGGGAGAGGTGATTAAACAGATCAGATTCAATGTATTTATAGTGCCCATCTTAAAGCAGAGAAGCAGAAAAGAGCAGTGGGATTGTGAAGTGAGCAGGTCTGTTCCTAATGAGAGGATGAACTCCTTCCAGTGTTTCTCTGTAGCAAAGGACACAAATCAGCTGGCATGGAAAGTGGAAAGATCCAGCACAGCCTCACATGAAATTGGTTGTTTTAGCATGACTGAGTGAATCAAAATACTCAAGGAAATTCCCAAGACCGCACCCTCCTTCCTCATATTAAACCCCCGGTTTAACCCCACACAGCGCTGGCCATATGCAGCTCACACTTCTCTCCCTGGGAGCCATCTGGGACTCCCTTGAGGAATCCTGACTTTCCAGCACATGCTGTATTTAATTCTGACATTAAAAAGACATTATTTGGTTTCATGACATTGTGCAAAGACTACACTGACTTGCTGCAGAAAATGCATCCATTCCCTATATCCAACCCAAGATTAAGTGCTTGTCCTCCACTGCCACCAAAGCAGCTCTTTCAGAGCTAACTTTGGAGACAAAAAACCACAGAAAATCTTGGATTTCTCTGCATAAAAGGAAATGGATTACTAAATGTTGAGGCAGACAGTGATGCTCATGTGAGCAGAACCTACATGGCTGGGCTGGTTCTGGCTGGGGTAGAGAATTTCCTTGACAGGGCTGTATTTTGGGTCTGTAGTGAACACGGGGTTGATAATACAGGGATGGGTTTGGTTGTGCTGACACAGACCTAATTAGTTTTCCTACTGCCACGCTGGCAAGGGGGCTGGGGGTGCATGGCAGGAGACACAGCTGGGACAGGTGACCAAGTGACCAAAGGGACATTCCAGACCTTATGGCATCACCATCAGTGTATAATGTGGGAGGAAGAAGATGGAAAGGGAACGATGCTCAGGGTGATGGCATTTGTCTTCCCATGTCACCCTTAAGTGTGACGGAGACCTGGTCTCCTGGGGATGGCCGAGCACCTGCCTGTCCATGGCAAGCAGGGAATTAATTCCTTGTTTCGCTTTGCTTGTGTGCACTGCTTTTCCTTTCCTTATAAAACTGCCTTTAGCCCAACCCAGGGATTTTCCAGGTTTTACCCTTCTCATTCTCTCCCCTATCTTGCTGGAGGGGAATGAGGGAGCAGCCACCTGGCACCCGTGCAGGTGTCCCTTGTCTCCTACCTCCCTGGCCCACAGGATGGCACTGCGACACCCCTCAAACACCTCCCGGGCTCTCGGG